TACAGGAACGAGTGCTTAGAATTCTGTCAAGAAGCTACAGGGGCGCTTGGGTGGCTCAGTCGGCTGAGTGTCCGACTTTGGCTTGGGTCATGATCTCACGGTTCATGGGTTCAAGCCCATGTTGTTTAAATAGCCAGAGCCTGAGCTCCGTTTCATATTCTGCTTTTTTTCCTCTGCCCCCTCCTCACTGCTCAGTCTGAACTAAAATAAATAAAAACATTGAAAAAAAAAAAAAGCAGATACAGAGCAACAGCTGGTGGGCAGGAATGGATTCCCAGGGTGGTTTTTGTTTTTTTTTTAACGTTTATTTATTTTTGAGACAGAGAGAGACAGAGCATGAACAGGGGAGGGGCAGAGAGAGAGGGAGACACAGAACTGGCTCCAGGCTCTGGAGCTGTCATACAGAGCTGACGAGGGCTTGAAACTCAAGAACCGCGAGATCATGACCTGAGTCAAGTCGACGCGAACTCCCACTGAGCCACCCATGCCTGCTTTTTTTTTTTTAATAGGACAGACATTAAAGCATATTCAGTTATTAGGGCGATCCCATAAGAGGAGAAATTTTAAGTGCAAAAGGGATAAACTGAAGGGTGGCAAAAAGTCTTGGAGGAGGTTTAAGAGTCAAGAAAGGGGACAGCTGGTGGCCTTAGATAGTGGTGATACTGCTTACAGGGTTACTATGAGGCTCTAAATAAATGGCACCAACCTGAAAACACTGCATACATTGTAAGACACTAGGAAGTACTATAAAACCACTGCTCAAGTAATGAAGGAATTTACTACACCAGCTTCCAATTACAGATTCAACAGAATGAAGGTTTTTGTCTTACCCCTAACCTGGTGATACTTTATTAAATCGATTATGGCTCCACTAGTCTTTTGTTCATGAGAAAAGCCAACAAGATAAGTCTCTGAATTCTCAGTTCCACTTACTTGGAAAAGGGGAAAGAGTACTAAAGTTAATTTGCTGGGATCGGAACCTCTTATCTTGTTTTTTACCGAGTCAGCCAAGGTGTTTCAGGACCTTTCTCAGTTTTGTAATTTCGCTCTTCCTTTTTTCCTGTGCTTTCTGCCGAGGGCGGAGGAGGGCAGACGCCTTCCATCTCTCTATGGTCAACGAAACCATTCTGGCACAACGGAAAAAAGGTGAGGCGGGTTAACAAGTACTTCGCCCCCAGCCTCCAGGGAGACGAAACCGCGTCTCCGCGGAGGGGCGAAGATCGGGGACCGTGAGGCTGTAGGCCGAACAGGAGCCGCGTCAGCCAGGCCGCGCGTGAGTTCCCCGAGGCCGAGCCGAGGACGCAGGGCCTGGCCTGGGCAGCGCTTGAAACCGGAGTCTGGCGTGATAGGGGGCCCAGCAATCCTGTCCAGCAGCCCGCCTGCAGCCTGAACTTAAGCGCAAGGAATGGGGCGCTTTAGGGCGCTGGACAAGGGTGGTCTTAGAACAGAGGCTACAGTGACGAGAGACCAGCTGTGACATGGGCACACACGGTAGGGGTACAACCTTCCCTTCACCTTTTTACGCCGCTGTACCTGGCTCCGCAGAACTTCTCGTTAGCACTGCAAACGGAAGCTACGCACCTCTACTTCCGTTCTGGCCTGTTTCAAGGCCCCGCCCCGGTCTGTCCCTCGGCCCCGCCCCCCCCAAGGCCCCGCCCCTCAGCGCCGATCTTCCCTCCTCCACCACCCCCCGGCCGCGCCTCCGTCTTCCGCGTATCCAAAAACGAAAAAAACGTGAGGCTAGTTGAACCTGTTCTCGTTGCGACTGTTAAAGGCTTTGAGGCAAAGCATTTTGAAAGGGAAACCACAGTGCATTTCCGCGATTTGGGGCTAAACTTATTATAAAGCCTGGTCACTGCCACCAAGGGCTTTAAGGATGTGGGAGAAATACACAAAAGCTTTCATATGTAAGTCATTTATTCATTTGTAAATAAGAAAACTGATCCTTCTAGCGATTTGGCATCTAGTGCTCAGGATCAAAAAGTGACACGTGTTTGTAATCTAATGAGATTTCTAAATGTAAGCTCTTTAGCTGGTAAATCCTAAACCTGTTTTATTTTTTTGAGGTATAATTGACATATACATTAGTTTCAGGTGTACAACATGATTTCGTACGTGTATATATTTATTGCTAAGTGATCACTACAGTAAGTCGTGTATAACTTACTAAACCAGTATAACAACTAAACCAGTATAATGACGACCTAAACTAAGACATTGCACTTCTTGTTATTTTAACCTGGAATCAGAAAAATAATGGTGTCAAGCCCAAATTTCTTTCCCCCTAATATTAGGGAAATCCCACTAGGGACTGAGTGGTGGTAATATAAATTTGGGTTCATTCACTCATAAAGACACAATAAAATTATAATTAGACCAACCCAGTTGCAGAAATACCAGGGCTATAGGTTGTTACAATCTTTTATTTTTTTTTTAATATTTACTTATTTTTGAGAGAGGGAGAGGGAAAGAGAGAAGGGGTGAGGGGAAGAGAGAGAGGGAGACACAGAATCTGAAACAGGCTCCAGGCTCCCAGCTGTCAGCACAGAGCCCAAGGCAGGGCTCTGATAACTCTTGACCTGAGCCTAAGTCGTCGCTTAACTGACTGAGCCACCCAGGCGCCCCACTTTCTTCAAAACAAAAGTTGTCTTTTTCAAAATATTATTTAGAAAATTTATTTTATTTAAAAGTGTATAAAATATGTCCCATGATACAAAATTCTAGACATAGTAGACTTAAAAACAGCATAATGGAAAATATAAATATCCATTTTCTTATAAAAAATCTTTTGTGCACTTACAGTCTTTTCCTAGGTTTACATTTTTCTTTATTTTATAGTCTAATTCATACTTGCGGTAAAAACAAATATCATAGGTATATAGCAAAAAGTAAAAATTCCCTTCTCTCCGTCCCTTCAGATATTGGTAAATAAAATCTTTCCAAACTTTCAACCATACAAACATATTTTTGTTTTTTACATTCATGGTTTCACATTATACATGCTGTTCTGTAACTTACTTTTTCCACTGAATACTGTAATGGAAATCTTTCATGATAGTATGTTTAGAGATACTTCATTCTTTTTAATGGTTGTATTATATTCCTTTATATATCATTATCTATTTGGCCAGTTCCTTCATGAAAGCTATTCAAGGTGTTTCCAACATTTTACTAATAAAAACAGTGCTGCAACAAATACCCTGGCAGCTTATTTAGACAAATGCACTTACTATATTTACTTGCACATCCTTACAGTCCTCTTCTTTGAAATATCAGATTTTTTAAATGAAAGTTGAAGTATTAAAAATGATAATGGATTACGTGGGTAATGTGTGAATTCGAAGGGAAAAATCATGGTTTTAGTAAAACTACTTTATTAGGTTATGTTCATGTCAACAAACCAGAAAACCATTTAAGCTAACTTTGAGGGCTCCACTTAATTTCTTAAATACATCCTCTCTGTTCCATGCTCAGAGGCTGCCTGATGTATCTCAGTTCACTTTTCACTCTCAGTCTTGTTTGGCAGCTGGTGATAGATATTTAAAAAATTTAAGATGTTTTGAACAAAATGCCATCAGCCACAAGGAAGGAGCAGGGGTTGGTGGGCAGGGAGGTATGAGGGAGGGCAAATTTTCTTTCCATAATCTCGGCCTTGACAAACCCCAAACTCCGGGTACAATATATACAGGACATGGATTCATTAGGTTATGGTCCCAGTACAGCTTGCCCTGTGACCGTGTACTTGGGAACAACTGGTGGGTATTGGTTTTCCTTGGATACTTGGCTTTGGTTACACTGCTCTTAAATATGGTTTTGCTTTTGTCTAGTTACACAATTCTGTGTTCTTATTGACCTTCAGAAAAAGATATGACTACTTTAAAGTGGTTACATTACAGTGCTTTCCAGATTAAGTAAATATTTCAATGAGAGGAGTCAATATTTTTAGATTGGGAGGGTAGATAGCTCTTGCTTTGGGGAAGTGCTCATTAGTGACATGACCAATGACTCCTGGATGGGTGGTTTTACAAGGAGTGTGTAACGAAGTTCTGGGCGTTAAGTCGTAAGTCTTGACCCCGTCCAAAAAAGGCGAAGGAAATTTCAAAGTTTTTCTCTGAGCAGTGCAAAACCACTGCAACAGCAAGGATGCATTCAGGATGTTTGCCTTTCTTGTCAGCATATTAGTGAATTCCCAAAATACCAGGCTTATTACTGTTGCTTCTGGCAGATGTTTTCAAGTATCCTTTTATAGATTAAAAAAAAAGTGGTAAGGATCCCCACCTGACTATCGTTATCTTCCCTCTATTCAATAGATAGATAATGAATGGTTCCCATAGGATGTTCTCATGTACTTTAATAACCGTGTTGTCCTTGCTGGGTGTCCCACCCAGGTAGATTGGAAATTACCAGCTTACGACACAATTTCTCCTTAATTTTGTCCCAGGCTTCGGTAAAACTTAGCTAAAAAGATCCAAGTGAGCTTTAAGACAATACTGCCTCCCTAGTCTCCAAGCTACCTTTAATAAGGGAACCATCCGCTCCTTCCTTAACTGTTCTTATCAGACCTTCCAGGAGGAGGCTTGCCATTACTGAATGCCAAAAGCAGCCTGCAGGAGAAGAAATTACGCAATGAGACGGAAGGACCCTGCACAAGCATTTCTTCTTCATAACTGGAAGAGGAGGAGGGAAAGTGAACAAGGGGCAGGAACACACCAAGAAATATGGCGCCAACAGTTTCCTAGAGAGTGATATTTGGGCAAGCCTATCTACTATGACCCGCAAGTTTTCTTTTTAAAAAAACAAACTGATGCCGATGATAGCGGTTTTTACACAAAAGAAAATAACACTTAAAGACACATGTAATGCTGGCTCTCCTTCTGCTCTATCCATGCACGTTAAGTCTCCTGAACTGCGCTCGACACAGGGTGGCCTCTACCTGAATGATCTGAATGCTTGCAGGCAACTCCTCGGCCACACACGCAGGGCTGTGAATGTGAGCTGACTTACAGCTCTTCTCTGGAAGGTCTTTCCCGGTGGCACTGACACACGGACGTGTCATCATCAGGCTGAGCAACAAGTTCCATTCCGTCGCGTATTTCCGGTTTGCTGGACTGGCGCTCCGCATATTCCTGGAATGTGCGTGTAAAGGCAACTCAAAGATTAGTCCCCACGTCATCCCACTGGATCCTCCCTCCCTACCCCACTCACGCCATCCTTCCTAGTGGCTGCGTATCTTTAGAAAAAATTTCTTTCTTTTAACGTTTATTCATTTTTGAGAGACAGAGCATAAGCGAGGGAGGGGCAGAGGGGCAGGGAGACACAGAATTTGAAGCCGGCTCCAGGCTCCGAGCTGCCAGCACAGAGCCCCAGGAGGGGCTCAAACTCAAGAACTGTGAGATCATGACCGGAGCTGAAGTCCGACGCTTAACCGACTGAGCCACCCAGGCGCCCTAGTGCTGTGTATCTTGAGACTACAACCAAACGTCTGGTTTATTCCAGTCCCAACTTCAGTTGTTACGGGTACTAAGTGCAATATTTCATAATCTAACAAGGAACCCCAATCTATAATTTTCTGTGGACGTAGGAAGCCTCCACAAAAGGAGGTCAAGCCAGGCATCCCCATTTGAAATAACAGCACCTCTTGGCATTTACCCTCCACTGATGAATGAATAATTAAATGTGTTGAACACTCAATAAAGATGATATGTATCTCAAAATAAAGTTGGCGGTCCCACACACCCTTCCCTTTAGGCTCATAGCCACATATGTTTTGGCTACAGACCTGCGTGGTGTCCTCCTACTTGGCCACTGACTGAAATATTCCCATAAATTAGACTTCCAGTTCAGTGGTTCCATATACGTTGAGCTGGACATTCCTGGTGGGGGGCCCAACCCCCAAAAATACTGACACGAGTACAGGAACCAACTTAATAATTTAGGGTGAAAAACCCCTACTATTCAAGTTACAGGTAGACCAACAGAGGGTGCACAACTCATTTAAGGGAAAGGCTACTTTTAGTAAATAGTGTAATTTATCATTTTAATTTTTCGACGAGAGAACAATATCCCCCAGCATCTGAAGAAATGTACTTTTCTTCTGCCCACAGAAAAATAAGTTTAGGTTAAAAACAGAAGTATTATTTCTCTTTTTTTTTTCTTCCTGGTGAGATTTTACTGTGTAAAAACACAAGATAGTTACTCAAAGAACCAATCCTTGCATTTCCGTATTTTAGGCCTAAGGTGTTAGAACCATTAGAAATATATTTCATTTTGGGGTGCCGGGCTGGCTCAGTCGGTTACAGGTCTAACTTTGGCTCAGTTCATGATCTCACGGTTTGTGGGTTCGAGCTCACGTTGGGCTCTGTGCTGACAGCTCAGAGCCTGCTTTCAATTCTGTGTCTCCCTCTCCCACTGGCACTCTCTCTCTTTCTCCAAAAATAAATAAAACATTAAAAAAAAAATTTAATAAATGTATTTCACTTGTTTGTTTTTTACAGCAAGCTAAATATTGGCTTGCCATCCTATCCCGTGATACCAAAAGCATGAATCTTAAGTAGTAAGAACAAAGAGGCAGACACGTTGAGCAGAAAGAGATGTCCATGATCTCCAGTCCAACCCCCTTACTTTCTAGAGGAGGAAAGATATCCTCTGAGGTTCAGAAAATACCTAAACTAGGAATTCCACAAGGCACTTAATAAAAGCACTGCCAAGGTAGGGGGAGCTTTTCATCTATATTTGGAAGGGCTCGGTGCACCGTTTTTCAAAATACCGAGTTGGGATAAAAATACAGGGGCCACAAAAAGACTTAGCACTGATCCTGTCTTTCTGCGGGCTGGTGCTCGGCTTGGCCAGAGTTCCGTGGACTGACTCTCAGAACCCTATGAAGAAGTGAGGCACCCAGGCCCAGCATGGGGTCTGAGGATGCTCCCCCCCACTCCCGGCAGGACGGTCCGAGGGCACTCACCCGGAATACTCTGTAATAGTAGCAGTAAAGCCGGTGTGGCTGCAGCAGGTCCCTGGCGCTCAGCTGCCCTTCTTTTGCAATCTTCTTGGCTTCTTCATCATTTTCCTGAAAGGTTTAAAAAAACAACAACACGATAAATGAAAAGTACTCCTGTGACCACCCACCCTCCCAAAGAAGGCTACTGGTGAGTGTGAAGCAGGGCCGATGTCGGGTTAAATGTGAACAGCATGGAAGACCCGGAACAGGATGAAAACAGCCTCAGAACGAGGCTCTGAAAAATAGACAAGGTACTTTGCTAGACATCTGTTACACAGCAATGGTCACACGTGTTTGGACCCCGTTCCACTGGCTCAGAAGCTCCCCCCACCCCCTCCCGCCCCATACCTTCACCCAACATGCAGCTTCTCTTGTGTCTCCTGGCTCCCCAGGACATTTAGGGCTCATCCTCTGTTCCCCCATCCTAGCCTCTCTGCTTGGTATTAAAACGCAAACTGGAGTAGAATGAATCACTTTTTATGTTCTAACATCTCTTAAGAGCCCCATTTTAGTTTGCAGTCAGAGCCCCAAAGTTGTTACCAAGCAGTACCTGTGAAAGTCTATCTTACTGCTGTAATAGAAAATTCGGTGATTGGTACCCGCAGGCTGTTCCTTCATTACCAGGAACACTCAGCATTCCTAATTATACTTTTGGAAAATAGCTAATATTCTACTCTGCTGCCCACAGGAAAAGCCACTGGTAAGCAATCCTTACTTTTTATTAAAGGTCACAAAAATGATTCTGCCTCGGGCACCCACTTATTTGCATACCCAAACACTGCTTCTCAGAAACTTAGAAATAGAACAAAATCTTATAACGAAAGGGTAAATTTCTAGAGGTTCATAATAAGACAGAACAGCTTTTTAATACTTTTTCTTTAAAAAATATGAAAACAAATCATATTTTATGGAAAACTTGTAATTCTTGGGATGTTGTATAGCATGCATCGATTGTGCCTTTTTCCTAACTGGGAACAAGAAAAGAGCATCGTAATTGCCTTTAATGTCTTCTTGTGCATAAAGCACTCTAACCCTGGGATTTTCAATCAGCGATTTGCATTCAGTGTGTTTTTGCTTGATTAGTGTGTGTATGCATGAATAGTGATTCCTTCAGAAAAATCTATATTCTATATAACACTGTTATATTCTATATAATATATACATTCCATATAACATTGGACTTCCAACTCTTCTAAAAATCCTCAAAAATGTTGATAAAGGGTATTAAAATGACCTCAATGTTGATTCTTTAGCTATTTCAAGGGAACAAAAGCTCCAGAAAATAACATTTCTCTGACTAAATTATGTCAAGGTAAATTGCATCATGATGGAACTCATGTAAATAACATTGGTAAGTGTGTGATGACCTCAAGAAATTAAAACTCCAGAAAGCGTACCTTGGCCCACTTAATTTTCTCTAGTAAATCACTAAGATTTCTTTTAATTGGGACATAATGTTTCCAAGGCTTTAGTGCCATATAGAAATGTTCATAGTATGTTGAGTCCTGCTTCAGAACCAGACTGTCACCCAGCATGAGGTACGGATATCTATACGCAGCCACAGTCCCATCCACATTCACTTGATACTTGTACTAAAAGATTAAAACAAACATAAACAAAGAAGAAATTTAACAGCCATTTGCTTCACTTCTGATTGTCATCAACACCATAATACTAAATATAAAGCAGTTATTTTCCATGTTCCAATTTCACTGTTTAAAAGTTATACACTTCATTTTGTAATTCACATTTTCTCTTTGTGTTAAAATCATAAGCAGCCTTTAGCACATCGATTTTAGGAAATACAATGCAATGGGGTGTCTGGGTGGCTCAGTCGGTTAAGCATCCAACTCTTGATCTGGCTCAGGTCATGATCTCACAGTTCGTGAGTTCGAGCCCCCCATCGGGCTCTGCACTGATAGCACAGAGCCTGCTTAGGATTCTCTCTTTCCTTCTCTCTGCCCCTCTCCCACTCGCTCTTTTTCTCTCAAAAAAAAAAAAATCTTAAAAAAAAAGAAATATAACGTATTTAAGGATAAGATAATCAATAGTTTTAGGAAATAATTTAGGAAATAGGAGTACCTTTTTCAACTCTATGTAATGGGGATTCAGATTTCTGTGACCAGGGAGGAAAATGTTTCAAAAGTTCTATGTTTGGGGTGCCTGGGTGGCTTACTCGGTTAAGCATCAGATTTCAGCTCAGGTCATGATCTCATGGCTCATGAGATCGAGCCCCAGGTCAGGCTCTGGGCTGACAGCTCAGAACCTGGAGGCTGCTTCTGATTCTGTGTCTCCCTCTCTCCCACTTGCACCCTGTCTCTCTCAAAAATAAATAAACATTAGAAAAAAATTTTTTTTATTTTCTAGGTTTATTAAAACTGACTTCTGGTAACAATTTACACTTTCATGTATACCTAATTTCCCTTGTTCCTTATACCTACATAAGTATGAAAAAGGAAAGTGTTACCTCCAGAAAGCTCAATTTTAGAGTTGAGCACATAGAAATGTGGAGAAGTTCATAGACTAGTGTGATGGCTTGCGACACAATAGGTACTCGGTTTACATATTTGCTGGATTAATAAGGCTTGGTTTACATTTCAAAATCACTTTTCATAGGAATTAAACCTCACTTGATCATAATAATGTGAAGCACATATTATGATAACCTCTCTTCCCCTCCATCCTTTTTTTTTTTTTTTACAAATGAGAAAACTGTTGTTCAGATAAATTTATAAACCTCTATTCTTTGAGTTCAAATCCAATGTTTTTTTCATTCTATCACACCGATATGAACAGGATGTACTCACAGATTTGGTAATTAATTTTTTCTTAAGTAATTGGTACCAAAGAGTTTTCTAGCCAGTCAGATTCTATCATACTGTTCACATCTCTATCCTTTGGGCCTCATGACAGTGCTCTGAAGGAGCAAGGCAGGCATCTTGCATGTTTAGGGGAGCTAAGAGATGAAGGTCCCACAGTTAATGGCAGAGGCAGGACGCGTACCATAGTTCCATACTTATTTGGAGTTTATACTCTTTCTGTTTACAAAAGGCATTTAAGATCACTTTATGTAAAAGGTATTTATAGTCCCAGCTTATAAAATAAGTCTAAACAAGAAAAAAAACAGATAAATAAATGCACCCAAAACCCCAGGTTAATCCTCGTACTATAGTATTAAATATAGTCCTGGCCATTGGGTAGACAGAACCAACAAAAACAAAAATACCAAAAAGGAGACCACAATGAATGCTCTAATTCCCTATTCTTGGAAGGGAGAAAGTAAGAAAGTATGGGTGTGCCAGCTCAAAAGACTGGAGAAATCTGCCCACCCAGTGATTTGGTAGACTTTTAATGCAAGTTTATCACTTCATATTCATACAGGAAGACATAAACGCATACCTTAAAGAAATCAAAGAAACCTATCAATTTAGCTTTTCCAAGCTCCTTTTCTTTCTCTTGGAAAAAGAAATATCCTGTAATTCCTGCATCTAGGAGCTCTGGGTTTTCCTTGGACATCTGTACCAACTGGAGTCTCTCTTCTCGGCTATCTCTACCTCTGAAGAAAGCTTTTTCTGTTTTATTGATCCAGGAAGGCCCTAGAGGTTTGAAGCCATAAAAAAATATGATTATGAGTTTGACATTTATAAAAATGGTAAGCATAATCATCTTTAATATACCATTGTCATTTAAGATGTTAAAGCTCTTTTATCATCAACTCATCTTCTAAAGTAAGGTGCTGTTTCCAAAAAATAGGGGATTGAGTACCTTCCTGAGATACTTTCCAGTTTAGACTTTCAAAAACAGCCCTTTTATCTGCTGTATCACATAAAAGAATTCTCTCATTTCTCCTATTTGTCTACCTGTGAGAGCTCACTCAAATGCTAGAGTGTCTGTTGTATGACTTTAGGAGTTATCCAAAATAACGCTGGATCAAGTTCAAAGCAAAAAACATTCAGCGACTTGGCCACTCACCCAGGCATTAGCTTCTTCCATCCTTTGTGCTTCACAATAAAAAATGAGCTAGGCTTTTGTTCTTAGACTGGGTGACCAGAACAAACTATATAACTAGGTAACACCCACATCTTTAATCCTTAGGTTGCTCAGATTTTTGAGCACATCACCTTTGAATACAGGGAGGATTGTCTAATATGCTCTGAAATTAAAAAAATATATATATAACTCAACTATATGCATGTGTGTAAATATGTACGTGTGGGGGGGGGGTTTCTTTCCCGAGAGGGAAATATTCTAGAAGAATTAACTAAATCTGTTTCTATGATTCTAACGAGAGGTCATTAGTTAACACCTACACCTGTTACTCTTCTAAGGGATAAATTGTAAAACATAGAAACTGGAGAGGGTCACTCTCTTTAATATTTTAGTACACTTCTCAAGAATTCACTGTTACCAAATAAAAAGTCAGTTTTGAACCCATGTTATCTTCAGGTAGTTTGCAAAGAGTCTTCAGTCGCATCTGCCAAATAAGTCCACCAAATCACAATAATGGGAACAGAGTTTATAAAGACAGGCAGGGTTAGGCAAGGTTTATTCTACTCAGGGAGTCTGGTTTAATAAAAAGTTGTGTTGGGCCATAAAATGTAAGGCCATCAAATGGGAGTGGGGGAGGGGTAGAAAGAATTCAGGTTTTAAAGGATCAAGTAAGGCAGAAGGAAGAAATGAGAAAATTCCTCACTACATGATGGAGGGAGTAATATCCAAATAACACTGTTATAACAATTCTCTTACATCCACACATATAATTTTATATTTTTCAAAATGCTTTCTGGCTCCATCCAGCAATATAAAGGCACTGGAGTCAGAATTAAGTGACGATTTTACCAAATATATATTTTCAAATGGTATTTACAAAGGACCAACTCAAAGGAGACCCAGTTACGGCAGGTCTGGATTTTACTAGTCCAACCCATACATCTAAGTTTTGGATTAGAGGAACCTACACTGCCCTTTTTTCTTGGTTAGAAAAGAAGAATGATGGTTATTTAAATATATACCTTTATTCTCTCTGGTTGAACACTCCCTTTTACCTCTGTCTTCGAGAACAAACTTTTATTTACCTGTATTTCCCTGAATAGAGAGGAGATCATTTGTGACACCCCTCATTGCTTCCAGTGTGGAGTGGGAGATGTCATATGTTGGAAGGATAATGTCTCGTGAATCCAGGGAGCCACACCACGAAATGATAGGCAAAGGGCCAGGGCTTTCATTGACTTTTCGATGCTCCAGAGGCCAATCTCCAAGATTAATATAAAATTCTATATCGGGGAGAAGGACCTAAATAAACAAAAGATGAAACATCAGTTCTGCAAAGACCTCAGTTTTGGGTACTAAATGCTTCTGTTCTTTGGCTTTTTAAAATATGTCTGGCAAAAGTGAACATTTGGAAACAGTAGAGGCGAGAAAATTGCCTGTCAGTCATCAGCGGTACCAGAAAATCAAGGGTGAGGATGGTAGATGGCAAATTCATGTAACCAGGAGTAAGCTCCTTCTGTCCAGAGATGGTGTTTCAAATCGCTTAGTATCAGGGCACCAGGCTGGCTCAGTCGGTGGAGCGCGTGACTCTTGATCTTGGGGTCGTGAGGTTGAGCCCCATGTTGGGCATAGAGATTACTTAATAAAAATATAGATAAATCATCAAAATTGCTTACTGTGCTAGCAGTGGACATGGTATAGAACAGTACAAATAAAGGGCTTCAAGAACTCTTTCTGCCAGCTGCCTACTAAAAAATTGACAAGGTTAGACCCAAGCCCTTGTTTTCCTTGAGTATCAAACCTCCATGTCACGTCTACCTTTGCTTCCGGAATCTGCCACTCCGTGGCCATCTCCGCGGTCAATGCCTTGGTTTAGGCTCTTCCCATCTCTTGCCTAGATTGGTGCAGTAGCTTCCTCACTAGGTGTTCTGCTTGAGGCTCTCCCCACTCTGATTAGCTCTCACTTTGCTGCCTAAATGTCTAAAACCCAAATTCATGTTACTAGAAGCTTAAGAGAACCTTAAGCCTACAGGACAAGGTGTAAACTGTCTGGCTAGAAGGCAAGGCCTGTTATCTCGTTCCAGCTAAGCTATAAGCCTCACCTTCCACCCGAGAAGGTGCCGGTCAACTTCGGGCTGCTCTCTGAAAACGCCAGCCACTCTCCTATGCAATTCCCTTCCCACTTGGAATATTCTTCTCCTCCTTATTCACTTGGTGGTCTCCTTTCTCATCCTTCAAACTCAGACCTGATGTTACCTCCTCTATGACTCCCCCTCCTCAGACATTTTCACCCTGGGCACCTACTTTCCTTACAAGCTACCATGATGAAGTACAATTTGTTTATATCCATACACCACTCCAACTTCCAAATAACAAAACAAGTCCCACCAGAGCAGGCTGCTCGAAGTCCAGAGATGAGTCTCATTTGTCTTGGATTTCTTCCCAGCCACTGGGCAAAGAACCCAGAACAAGAGGGAAGGGCCAGGGATGGGACTACTCAACCTCATGCTTCCCCACTATTGTTTATAAACTCATTAATAAACTCCACACCTAAATAAATAAATAAATAATAATAAAATAAACCAAAAAAACCTAAACCAAACAAAAACACACAAAACACAAAACAACAACAACAACAACAAACTCCATACCAGAAGTTCTCACTATAGAACGGGGTTTCTTCATCTCAGCAGTATTGACATTTTGGTCTGGGTAGTTGTTTGCTATAGGCAGTTCTGTGCATTGTAAGATCTTGACTGGTATCCATGGTCTCCACCCACTAGATGTTAGTCGCAACCCCCAAGTTGTGGCAACCGAAACTGTCTCGAGACTTTGCCAAATGTCCTCTAAGGGGCAAATTAATCACTAGGAAAAACCACTGCTCTAGGGGCAGCAACATGAGTACAAGGTAGGACACAGGGCAGGGTGGACTGGTGGGCGGTAGGCCAGGAAGAAAGGACCACCTTTGTGATCAGGTACCTGCGATGCGCTCATACCGTGGGCGAGTGCGGAGCGGGGAGGAGGCTGCTATTTAAAATAAGAAGTGACTGGGGCGCCTGGGTGGCTCAGTCGGTTAACCATCTGACTTCGGCTCAGGTCATGATCTCACGGTCCGTGAGTTCAAGCCCCACGTCGGGCTCTGTGCTGACAGCTCAGAGACTGGAGCCTGCTTCAGACTCTGTATCTCCCTCTCTCTCTGGCCCTACCCCGTTCATGCTCTCTGTCTCAAAAATAAATAAACATTAAAAAAATAAGATAAAATAAGAAGTGACTGCAGCCACACATTCAGCACACTTGGGAAAGTGTGTAACTTGTATCACCCAAGTTGGCTTTTGGTTTAGACAACCACCTTGACAATCTTGAGTGGGAAAGGTAGAAAAACTCTCATCCTCACCCTTCGCTCTGCATGGTCAGGAAGGAGGAGGAACAAAAGGCAATTTGAACTGCTCTGCTTGAGAGTTTTGCAGGTGTGGAAAGAAGGGTCGAGTAGAGGGGAGTGGGGGTGGGGGAGGAGTTGAGAAGTCTTCTGAAAGATAGAGGCCCAAGCATATTCTACTAAGAAGCCAAGACCTGAACATCAACGACAGCCAGTGAGAAATTCCTGGAGGCAAGGATGACTGAGTCTGATTAATATAGGCATGTCTATTTTTATTTCTTTGTTTGTTTGTTTGTTTGTTTGAAGTTTACTTACTTATTTTGAAAGAGAGAGTGAGCATGAGTGGGAGAGGGGCAGAGACAGGGAGATAGAGAATCCCAAGCAGGCTCTGCACTGTCAGTGCTGAGTCCGACACAGGGCTTGAACTCACCAACCACGAGATCATGACCTGAGCCGAAACCAAGAGTCTCTTAACCAACTGGGCCACCAGGTGCCCCCAGGGATGTCTATTTTTAAATGTTAGCATTTTTGTTTGGTTGGCTTTTACTACACAATGGTACAAAATAACCTCTCTGTTACTAGAACCATCAACAAAACATGCCATGCATACTATCTTTTCGAGATGGTTAGGATAAAACAAGGAAAAGTGGTCTAAGTTCAAGTCATTTTGAGGTAATAAGAAACAAAAGAGCTGCAGAAAGTGAAATCTGAATGGAGGGAGAACTACAAGAAGTGACCTTGGGGCTAAAAATGTTTGGGAGTCCACGAAAGCGTTGGGAGTTTTATGCAGGGCCTACTTACCTGGGATGGGGGCTCAAGCCATTTAATTTAAATATTAAAGGAAAGAAAGATCCATAAAAGGGGAGAACTGATGAACACTCAGGTGGTGGGCATCTCGCTACACATTTGCAAGGCCAGAAGCCATTTCTATCCTTTGCCACTGTTATTCCAGGCATCGCAATGTTACAACTACATAATTAAACTACAGTTGACCCTTGAACAATGCAGGGGTTAGAGGTGCCAATCCCCACACAACCTAAATTCTGTGTATAAGATTAGACTCCCCCAACACTTAACAACCAATAGCCTACTGTTAACTGGAAGTCTTACCGATGACATAGCTATTGATTAACACATACTTTGTATGTTATATTATATACTGTGTTCTTCCAATAAAGTAAGCTAAAGAAAATAAACTGCCATTAGGAAAGTCATAAGGAGGAGAAAATACACTTAGAGTACTGTACTGTATTTATTTAAAAAAAAATCCATGTATAAGTGGACCCACGCAGTTCAAACCCATGTTGTTTAAGGGTCAACTATACATTGTTTTTAGAACCAATGAGTTCATGCTCTCATACCTTTCTTGCCAGTGACAGCAAAATCTCATCTGAGAACATTTTGAAGTCTGTGTATTTCCCTAAAGATCTCCGGTAGATGTGGTTGTTGAGAATCGTGTAATGGACAATGGCACCCCTTTCATCCCCAAACCTTTTCGGAACTTCATTTAACATCTGCTGGAGATTGATGCTGGGGAAAGAAGCGAAATCTTTTGCAATCTGTGGTTCCTTGGTTGGACAAGACAGAGTTTTTTGCCAGGCCTGAGGATCCTCTTCTGGACACTCACAGTACTCATGGTACACTGGTCCTAGGGAAGGCAAAACATGTGTAATGCCATGCTCCATTAACAAGCACCACAACACAGGGAGTTGTTTCTGCCCCTGATATGAGCGTGGGATGATTTCTTGGTGAATTCTAAGATTATCCAGATGGGGATAATCTGCCCTAAACAAATCAGTGGTGAAAGCAGTTATGTCAGAGTCCCATGCTTCCATTTTCCATCCCCGTCTTGTACGCCTCTAGACGACCTACAGAGCATATGCTCTCTCCCCATATCACCCACTCTCAGCCAACTAGCTGCTGAATTCAGTTCTAGTGCGTTATAAGTGCCTGGAGAACATAAAACAACACCTTTTAGGAAAGAAAAAGAGGCATATTACTTTTGAGGCATTATTATATAGTAGGGGTGGTGACTTTTTAAAAGACAAGATGGAGAATCTCTAAATCTCTGAATCTCTAAAATCATTTCTGTCAACACATCTCAGAGAAGAAATATGCAACCCAGGGGTTTCTGGCAGTGTAATTTTCTTCTTTGTTTTCTTTTTTAAAGTTTATTTATTTATCTTGAAAGAGAGAGATGGAGCACAAGCAGTGGAGCGGCAGAGAGAGAGGGAATCCCAAGTAGGCTCTGCACTATTCATTTAGAGCGAGACGCAGGGCTCAAACTCACAAACCACGAGATCATAATGTGAGCCAAAATCCAGAGTCAGATGCTTAACCAACTGACCCATGCAGGTACCCCCCCCACCGGCAGTGTAATTTTTAAAAAAGAATTTAAATTTTATACCCAGCCATAAGTATAAAACTTCTCTGAGGATTCATTTTAAAAGAACTTTATACAAATTTTATATTTTACTTCAAAATATATTTATATTTAACTTAACATAAAAACTTCGAACAAACGACTGTGTTTCTTGACTATTTCTACTTCTGACCAAGGTGAGTAATATGGATTTACCACTGAAACTATCAAGAAACAGGCAAAATACATGAAACAGTTTTTTAAGCCACCAGACATGAGGCAGTAAAGGACACTGAGTCTGAGAAATAGGAAGCAGATGAGGTATACCCTACAATTCCTAAGGTTACTGCTGAAGGGAGATTCTAGGTTATGGAAACAGGGGGAGAAATATAGGTTGAGCCCAGCAATCTCACTGAGTTGAGGGGACAGAGCAGAGTGTCCAGGGAGAACAAGGCAGCTAGAATTTATAGGGCATAGTCTATGAAAGGGGAGAACTATGCAGAAAGAAAACTCCAGAGATCTGCAAAAGGTTCCCCCTCAAGTATTTAGGGTTTCTGAAGTGTGTACATAAGTGAGGAAAGGATCCAAGGCAGGGAAAGAATGAGTCAGAATGATTAGAGGCAACAGTAGGACCCACTGGTCATAGAGGGTTGGAAATAGTGTCTGTTCACACAAGGCAGACTGGAAAGCATCCTTATTTCTGAGGCTTGGGTAGACCAGGCAGAGAGATATTACCTGAGTGCTGGGGGAAAAAAACCATAGCCAAATGTGGCTCTGGTCTCACCTAACAAATTGTAAAAGCAAAATTTGAAAAATTCAAACTATTTCCAAATAACTTAACTGCATTCTAGAAAAAAGCTCAAGAAGATGAGGAAGTGCCAAGAGATGAAAAACAGACTGGATATAATTAATGACAAATTGGACATTGCAGAAGAAAAGATTAGTGAACTTAATGACATAGCAATAGAAAGTAGACACAATGAGGGACGTCTGGGTGGCTCAGTCAGTTAACCATCCGACTTTGGCTCAGGTCATGATCTCCTGGTTTGTGAGTTCAAGCCCCACATCGGGCTCTGTGCTGACAGCTCAGAGTCTGGAGCCTGCTTCAGATTCTGTGTCTCCCTCTCTCTCTGCCCCTCCTCCGCTCACACTCAGTCTCTTTCTCTCTCAAAAATAAATAAACATTAAAAAAATTAAAAAAAAAAGAAAGTAGACAAAATGAAATGGAGAAAAAAAAAGAATTTTAAAAATGAAAGGGGCATCAGTGTGTTCTGGGATAATTTCAAGTCTGATATAGGGGTAACTAATTCTTGGTGGAATTCTGGAGTAGAACAGAAAAAGTATTGAAGAAATCATTGCCAAAACTTTTCTGGATTTAGTGAAATCTATAATCCCAAAGATCTAAGATGCTCCACAAACCCAAGCACAAGAAACATGAAGAAAACTACACCAAAGCACATAATAATCAAATTGTTTAAGAGCCATGAGAGAGAAAACCTTCAGCAGGATGGAGGGACAGAGACAGATGTCAGCAGATTTACTGTTGGAAACAATGCAAGCAAGAAGACAGTGGAACAACATCTTTAAAGTATTAAAAGGAAGAAAAAAACCTGTTAAACTATTCTATATTTAACAAAGATGTCTCTCAAAAATGAAGGCAAAATATAGACTTTTTCAGACACACAAAAGCTGGAAGAACTCATCACCAACATTCTCACACTAAAAGAAACGTTAACAGGAATCCTTTAGCCGAAGGCAAATGGTACTAGATGGAAATACAGATATGCCAAAGAATTAAGAGTGTCGGAAATGTTAACTACCTCGATACATACACAAGATTTTGTTGCTTATCATTTAAATTTCTTTACCTAGTTTTCCATCCCTCAAAATTCCAAGTTAAACTGAGCTCCAGGAGGGGCTCCTGGCCAGCTTAGAGCATGCAACTCTTGGTCTTGGAGTCGTGAGTTCAAGCCCCCCATTAGACATGGAATTACTTAAAATGAGCTCCAGGAGGTATGCATACAATGTTTACTCTGTTGTACATGACTTCAAGGTCATCATAACCCATTTTGAAACGCATGGGGTCTACACATATAAGGCTGGCTCTGCACTGTATAATAATCACTTACCTTTCAAAATATAGGGAGACTGAGCCACATGTTCATCACCATAAAGGACCTCTATCTTCAGCCCTTCACTGACAGTTTCATACATCCTATATCGCACCAAAAATGTCCCGTCATTCCTGTCCAAAGGTTTGGGGACGTGAATCCGGACTAACTCTTTAGGTGAAAGAGATTTGATTACTACCTTGAATAGTGTTTGACCTGAAAGAAAAAAATATATATACGTAACGCTACCATTTCATGGTTATTTTGTCTTATCAATTATTGGATAGGTGTCTCTACACTGAAGTTACTTTTTTCTATACCATCAATTGTAAACAAAAGTTTTAGTGTGGAAGGTCCTTGAGACCAGGAACAATGTCTGGGTTATGCCTGGAAACCAAGTATCTAAGTCAACATTTTGTGTGGGTTTAAAACAGTTCAGTTTATGGATTTAAAAATCCATAAACTCCTAGAATGACAGGGCTCTATCACGATCCAACTTTCTCCTGGTAAAATATACACCAGCTTTCTTGTAAACCACGTTCATACCGGATAACCCTCATTTCTGAGGGAATTTCCCATTTGTTAACCCCAATTTCTAGCTAGACTTCTAAGTTTATTTCCCTAAATAGAGATTATAGCTAGTTAGTAGGCTGTGCACAAATATCACTCACACACTTAACACACACACACACACACACACACACAATTTTCACACACATTTGTAAATGCTGGAGTTTACTTCTCTAAGCTTTTTTCCTCAAGGTTGAAATGAAAGTTATCCTAGGATGATCTAACATCCTTTTCAACTCCAAAATTCTGTGGGTTTTCTATTCCAGAGCAAATAACAGCTGCTTAGTAAACCTTCCCTTCTCTTTTTGTAGTATACTGACTGATTTAGACTTTGAAACAATACTGTTGTGATTAATATCACCGTGATCCAGGGATAAACACTGCAGTATCTTTCTTCAGAGAGTCTGCAGATCAGGGCAGATCTGATCCCCAGGAGCTTTGAGAATAAAGATCAGTTAATGTCCTCACCACAGTTAATCACTATATCAAAGGCAAATGTGTGAAAAAAAAAAAAAAAAAAAAAGGGGGTGAATCCTCTGAAATTCACAGCCCTGGAAAAAAATAGTGGTGACCAAAGCAGTCTTTGGTCCCACATCTATCATAGTATGACATTAAGTATATTTAATATATGTATTTTTGAAATTACTTAGTGAACCTAAATCTAGTTTCTTAGTTTCTAAATCTAGTGAGTGAAGTTTCTAGTTTCTCTTGATCTTCAAGGGTTTTACTTTTTCCTGTGGGTCAGGAGAGGTGTCCCTCAGTCTCTTCAGTTTGTAATAGTAATGTAGTATCTGACATCTTGCTATTAAATTTTACTATTTTATTTTAGCATTGAAATGAGTGTGATAAAATTATGAAAGCAATCTGATAAAATAAATGAACTATAACCAACATAGGGAATGTTGTAAAAAAAAGGAAAGAATTTAGTGTGAAATTATTTAAAATGTTAGCCATTTACCTGAAATGCTTAAATGAAGCATATTAGTTATTGCTTTCATGTTATTTCTCACTTGGTTTTATTTTTATTTTTTTAAATGACTTTTTTAAAATGTTGATTTATTTTTGAGAGAGAGAGAGAGAAAGAGGCAGAGACAGAGACAGAGCGTGAGCACAGAAGGGGGCAGACAGAGAGGGAAAGAGAGAATCTGAAGCAGGCTCCAGGCTATCAGCACAGAGCCCAATGTGGGGCTCAAACTCATGAACTGTGAGATCATGACCTGAGCTAAAAGTCAGATGCTCAACCAACTAAACCACTCAGGTGCCCCTCTCACTTGGTTTCAGAAAGACAATACAGTGTGGCAAACTGAAAATCAGGCAGGCAGAGCCTGGGAACTAGGAGGTAATTTCCATTATATTCTCCCCAAATAGGAAACAGAAAAGCTTTGTCTCTTGATCAAAGAGTCCTGTTCTCCACAAATTTATGATTTTAAATAAACAAAACAGATATAAGAGAAACATATTAGTGACTGTGTGATCTTTTTGGAAAAAATAGATTTACAGAAAAAAACAGCTCCAAAGTGCTTCCTTATTTTTAAATTCAAAGAATTGGACTAGATATTGTCTTGTCTCTTCCAACTATAAAATTTGTCTCTGAAATAGCATTTAAACATTCCATTTCAAGATATATGTATAAAAATAAAATGTAGCCATTTTTAATATTTTAATGTTCAGCTATGTTTATAGTAATCTTACATGCCTGTGTCATTGTTGGCATGACATTAATGCTGGAATCAACACAATTTAACAATGGCCAGGACTGAAATAGAAATAAGCAATTTTAACCTCATAAAAGAGAAAATGAGGGGCGCCTGGGTGGCTCAGTCAGTTAGGCATCTGACTTTGGATCAGGTCATGATCTCACGGTTCACAAGTTTCAAGCCCCACATCAGGCTCTCTGCTGTCAGCACAGATCCTCTGTCCCCTTCCGTCTCTGCCCCTCCCCAGCTTGTGCTCCCTCTCTCTCTCAAAAGTTAATAAACATTAAAGACAGAGAGAGAGAGAGAGAGAGAGAGAGAGAGAGAGAGAGAGAGAATTAGAAGAGGGCACTTTGAAATTGCTTCAATGGAAGGAAGGTGAATTCTCATTGGCCCCAGGCACCAACATACTGAACAGACTTCAAGCCGAGCTTGAATTTTCCTACTTCACAAGTTCAGACTTTAAGAGAGTGAGTTAAATGAGGCTGCAGGGTCCATGGACACCAAAGGAGGTTCACAGGATCAAAGCCTTGTATCACTGGAATCAGAGCTTCTGAAGGCTTTTGGTTTGGAAAGGAATAAATACTTTTTTTTAATCACTTACTTAGCATTTATTATGTGCCAGTGCCCGAGCTGGAGATTTTCATTTGCATTTTCTACGTTCTTTATTTCCTACAAGAATTTGTAAGGTGGGTATTGTCAGCCTCATTTTACAGATCAGGAAACCAAGACTCCGAGAGGATAAGTAACCTGACCAACGTCACCTATGTTAGGTAGGAGAGCCAGCTTGAATCCTTCTTCTTTCCAAGCCCCTCCTGAATCCACCTGGTCACGCTATGTAAGGTTAGCATATTGGTCTGCAGAATTCAGACTTGGAGGAATAACCTCCAGAGCTCCTGGTACAATGGAGTCACCGCCTCCCGTTTTGTTTAGGAAGATTATGAAGGCTCGACAGCTCGAACGAGGGTCAACCCCGTGTGGCCAAGGGAACAGAGTGCCAGAAGGCCAAGCTGTTTTGCCTTGAGGCTAAGCGTAATCTTCCAAAAATGTCTGGTTGTCTGCTGACCACGGATGCTCTCCAGGAACTTGCTGAAAACTGATGCATGACAATCATCTCACGGGAGATTTGATTAGACGGAAAGAGCATGCATGGATGTGTACCTTGGCTCTGACGCTTAATGGCTGTGGGGCCACAGGCAAAACATTTTAGCCTCACTGAGCCTCAGTTTCTTACGTGTAAAGCGGAGAGAACAGTACCTATCCTTCTTATCTCACAAGATGATTAAGGAGAACAAATTAAACATGACACAGTTTAAAACACTAAAGTGCTACCCAAGTAGGAGGTAAGATTATTTTCTGAATATACTATTACTGGTGAAGGTAAAGGAGGACTGAGGAGAAAGTGAGTATTTGTATCCACCATCTTGGGATATTCCAACCACCCTGCCTCCACCCTTTCCTTTCTTTTCTCTACAGTATTTACTGAGCATCTCTGCCAGGCATTATATCAGATGCTGGGAATGTAACAATGTTAACAGGTTTTGCCTACGTTCGGAACAGAAGGAAATACTCAATTTAAGTCAGAAGGGAGTAAAAATACACATGAGAGATAGGTCCTTTCCCCTTATCCAAGGTCACAGACCCTCTAATTTCTCTCTTTGGATTCCAGTTTGAAATCCTTTGCTTAGAACATTCAAGATCACGTTTGTTATCTAGGTACCTGGAGATACACAGCATAATAACAATATTCAGACAAATATGACTGTTAAATGGGAGTAATAATTATTAAGGGAATCTTGGTAAGTCATGTAAGAAGGTCTAAATCTTGAGAGGAAAACTGCCTCAAGGTGACTACGTGGCTCAGTTGGTTGAGCACTCTTTCTTTTAAAAGCATTTTATTGCCATCCTTATTCACATATTTTTTTTAATTTGAATTTTAGTTTACCTTACAATATTGGTTTCAAGAGTAGAATCAGTGATTTATCACTTACATACAACAGTGAGAGCTCATCATGACAAGTGCCCTCCTTAGTACCCATCACTCATCTAGCCCATCCCCCAACTGCCTCCCTCCATCAACCCTCAGTTTATTCTCTGTCATTAAGAGTCTCTTGTGATTTGTTACCCTCTCTTTTCTCCTGCCCCAACCCTGTATGTTCATCTGTTTTGTTTCTTAAATTCCACATATGAGTGATATCACATGGTATTTGTCTTTCTCTGATTAACTTTTTTTGCTTAGCATAATATATTCTAGTTCCATCCACATCATTGCAAAAGGCAAAATTCATTCTTTCTGATGGCTGAGTAATATTCCATTGTGCGCGCATGCGTGTGTGTGTGTGTATAATACCACACTTTCTTTATCCATTCACTAGTCGATGGACATTTGGGCTCTCTCCATAGTTTGACTATTGTTGATAATGCTACTATAAACACTGGTGTTCATGTACCCCTCTGAATCTGTATTTTTGTATTCTTTGGGTAAATGCCTAATACTGCAATTGCTGGATCGTAGGGTAGTTCTTTTTTCAGTTTTTTGAGGAACCTCCATACTGTTCTCCAGAGTGGCTGCACAAGTTTGCATTCCCACCAAGAGGGTTCCCATTTTTCTGTATCCTCACCAATACCTGTTGTTTCTTGTGTTAATTTTAGCCATTCTGAAAGGTGTGAGATGATACAAATCACATTGTGATTTGTGTTTCCCTGATGATGAGTGATGTCGGACATCTTTTCATGTGTCTGTTGGACATCTGGATGTCTTCTCTGGAAAAGCATCCATATATTCTGCCCATTTCTTCACTGGATTATTGGAGGGGGGGGTGTTGAGTTTGCTAATTTCTTTCTAGATTTTGTATACTAACCTTTATCAGATATGTCATTGGCAAATATCTTCTTCCATTCTGTAGGTTGCCTTTTAGTTTTGTTGATGATTTCCTTTATTGTGCTTTTTAT